GAAACGAGTATCTCGATACCATGAATGGGTATGGATGGGCATGACATATGAGGTAAGATACAAAAAAAAATGTTCCACAAAACCATTCCAACACTAAATTATGCAATTGCAATGCCAAAACAATACCACACAGGTATTCTTTTAGCATCCAAATATCAATTATTATATACAAAGTGTTTTGCATGCAATTTTTTGTTATTATTCTTTGGTATTTTACCTCTTATGTCATGCTGATCAATACCAAATTTTGGAATCAGATCAGAATTAGGTATTCATATGTTATGTTTTCCTGCTCGGGATCACACGCACAATCATGTTTTTTATCAACAAAGGTGGCAAGTGAATTTTTGATTTTTAATTCCTTGATTTTTTTGGTTTTTCTGGTATCTTCTATAAAAAATCCTGATTTTTGAACAAAGCTTTAAATCTATCAGTATTTCATTTTTTTTTTTTTTTTTCTTTATTTTAGAGATTTTTAGCCATAGGCTAGTTTATCTCTTATCAGTATTTCAGATTTCCTTACATGATTGTTGTTTTCAATGTTTTCTTTTATATTTTATGTGTTGTCATGCGAATAAGGTCTTCAACTCGGTCTTCAAGGAACAATTTTGGTTCAGTGTTCGAAAATCCCAAAAGCAGCTGTCAGTGACGATTGTCAATTTCGGCCAAATGCTAATTTTACTCTGAACTGGCAATAAAGTCTGGAACGCGCAAAAATTTGTCAACTTCAAATTAGTGTATTTCCGTTGAAAATGCATTTAAAAAAACCTGAAATTCTGCATTTGGAAGTTGAATCGTTGCTTAGATGAATTTTCACCGTTTGCTCTCCAGTTTTTAAAATGACGCCCAAGCAAGAGAAGCAGCGTGTCAAAATTTTGCTCGCGCAGCAAGAGAATCCGACGTTCTCCCACGAAACTTATGTGAAGGAGGATTTCAAGCAGGTTCTGGGACAGGAGTTTTATACCGCATTAGGAAAAGGGAAGGTGGCTGAAATTTTCAAAACCATCAAACTATCGAAGTTCCCGAAGAAATATCTCATCTAGCAGGCCATATGCACGTGTGGTCTGAAAAGCGGAATTTTCATTACTACGGGAACAATCAATCAAGAGATCTACGTCCAGGAATGCCTGGAAAAGCGGCTGCTACCATTCCTAAAGCAACATAATAGACCTGTGCTGTTCTGGCCGGACTTGGCGAGCTGCCACTATGGGAAAAAGGCAATCGAGTGGTACGATGCGAATAACGTGGTTGTGGTACCCAAAGACCACAACCCTCCCAACAGGCTAAATAGAACTCCGCCCTATGGAACGGTATTGGGCCTTGATCAAACGGAATCTAAAAAAATTAATAAATCCATGGAAATCGAGCAGCAGTTTAAATCTAACTGGCGTTCGGCGGCGAATAAGGTCGATGAGACCACTGTGCAAAATTTAATGGAGGGGCTAAGCGGAAGACACGGCAGTTCGTATTTGGCAAACCAAAAGAATAAACGAACTTTTTTTCCTTTAAATATATGAATTGAACTACCAAAAGAGAAATAAGAAGACTTTTGTGATGTGAATTTTGACCGAAAGAAACGATTTTTCTGTCGACCAATTTTTGCTCGTTCCAGTCTTTATACAGAATTCCCGACATTTTCCTGGTTTTCCTGGTTCACTTGTCACCCTGAACCCATCACACTCACGATCAAGCTTAGGATAGAATAATAATAAACAAGTTGTGAATAAGCAGCCGTTCCACCATATTGCTGTGAAAAGGAATCTGGGCTCATTGAAACAAATCTCCTGTTTTTCATTTTTTCGTAGAACAACGCACCATCTGGACAATTGGAATTAATATGATTGGTTGCAAGTGAAACATTGTAAAACAAATGCTTTACTTAGAAATTTATGTAATGTAATATTATAAAGATTTAGGCCGACATTGAGGACATTAACCTTTTATACAAAGCTGGAAATAAGAGGAAAAATGCAAATGGCATAATAGAGAATCGCCTGTTTATCAAAAAAAAAAAAAAAAAACATGTTACCTATGGATGGATAATAACTAGGTAGGTCATGACTTTTAATACACATTTCCTGACAATTGGTGAAAGGTCATTTGGATTCAAGCTGCCGCACGGGTAAGTTGGTCATTCATTAGCTGCGTCGTGGGTGATTTGCCCATAATTAATATCGGCGGATTTTCACACTTCTGGCGATCCTGCCAGGAGACAAACCTGGAATTTGGGAGACCTTTGATAGGGCAAATCACCCACTTGCAAGGAAAATAGGATAAGAAAACGACCGGGACGGCCGTTCTGAATGCGAGTGAGGACGGATTTGCAAAAATCGTTTCCTCGCCGTGGCAAAGACACAGGAGAGAACGCGACCGGGACGGCCGTTCTGAGAAAACGAGTGACTCCTTCTTAATGCTGCTAACAGAATTGTGAAGGTAACCACACCGGAGGTAATGGAGCCCTTGACGGAGCCAATCTGAATCGCGGTATTTATAAACGCGATCGGAACCGCCAGCAGGGGATAAGTATGCAATTCCGGCAAAACCAAGTAAGGATGAAATTTATGAAGAAACAACAAGCAAATACAAAGAGAAGGTAGTAATCAAACGTTGGCAACCGGTATCTAGATCCTAGATACGCATTTGCATGCTGCTGGAAATTATTTGATGGACGATGAGGATAAACGGATTAAAAGTAAATAGTTGAGAGCCATGAGAATGAAGAAGAGCAGCACTATTTATTTTTGTGTTGTTAATGAACAATCTCAGTGATTTCCTGGATCTCCTGAATATTTATTAGGGTGTTCAAAAGTTCAAAACCATGGACGCAGTCGATTGACTCTCCCACCAAAACATGTTTAGCAAACTTAGATGAATTTAGTACCCAAAAGTTAAGGCTAACACAAGGAAGTAACTGAAGGTCTATTGCTGCTTCTACTATCGCCAGTGGGAATTTTAGGTCGAATCCTTCTTGATTTCTAGGTTGTAGCATTGTCCGAGTATCATGATGATAATGTAGAGGTACATTTTCCACTTGCCGGGTGGGTCATAAGTACAGGTTTCGGAAAACGTCTACCAGAATGAGACACGGTAAGGAAATTTCTTGTCCTGGATGGACAGCTTCTGCCATCACTCACCCTTCTCCTTCTCGTGGAGGAGTTGAACTTAATGGTTGGCAACGGTCAACGTATACTGGCTAATCATCGTTAAAGCAAAAGGAATGAATGTTGTACAAAGAAAAACTTACATTCGTGTTATTTGATGCACGTTTTACTTTTTAACAGGACAGGCACAGTAATTACCCTCGTATATACTATGCAATATACACAGATATAACTCGTCCATAACCATCCATGAGAATTCGGCAATGTAAACAAACAATCTCAAAAGTCATAACTGCAGGGTTGCCAAACTCATGGGATACTGAGATCGACAGCTTGATTGCCACACTTCGGCACACTCGACCCAACGCTTGCCACAGTTTTCGGCACAGATAAAGTTCTCGGTACAGATAGAGGTGTGCAGAGTACCCCTTGCATATGATAGTTATTTGATAATTTTCTTTTTGCTCGAATGTTATTCTCCCATTTGTATTGTGTGAGAGAGACGACGGTAGAGCATGAGTGTATGAATACAAACAGACTGTCGCGCACGACAACGAAGCGAGTGTAGTAAAAAACGTCAACCGTTTCAACCCCTGTGTCCAACAATGATCGCGTTGAGGCTTTGATGCAGATATTGTCCGAGTCGAACAGCAGATACTGTGATCTGGTTCTAGACTACTGTGAAAATCTCCAGTCAATTAACGTTGTCAAAGTGATTTTTAATTCTAGACGCAGCCAATGCCGCCGATGTTGCTAGAAAAAGATACGGCGATTTGTTTTTGCTTGTATGAAAAAATGGGAAATACTGGTTTTAATGTAAAAATTAACACTGGTGGTTCAACACATATTTGCGGAACACAACAACAGAATATTTTTTTCTCTGATTACGCTAAAAAAATGGTAATATAATCAACTCTCCATACATTTTTTTACTAGCATTATGCCGATAGAAAGGTGGGTGGCGCCATGATATTAGTGAAATTAAAACTGACAGCATTCAGTGATTAAATATCATTAATTAGTGTTCAAAAAAAAAACTTCCATAACTTTTATATCGAAGGACAGGGAAGATATGAGATGGATAATAACTAGGTAGGTCATGACTTTTCATACACATTTCCTGACAGTTGGTGAAAGGTCATTTGGAGTCAAGCTGCTGCACGGGTAAGTTGGACATTCATTAGCTGCGTCGTGGGTGATTTGCCCATAATTAATATCTGCGGATTTTCACAGAACCCATTGGTTCATATGAATTGTAAAAGACAATGTGCATGAAACTAAAAACTTTTGTATGAGCTTGGATACTTAATGGATACACGTGGTTTCTGATAGACTTGATTAAAACTCCATTCATGATTAACTACTTTTTGTTATTCCTGCGACTAAGAATCACAGCTCATGGAGACTTCAGATCCTCAATTCTGGTCTGCATTCCCAAAAATAAGTTTCCGGAAGCGTGTTCTATATTCGCAGCAGCAAATTTCGTCTTTCTCTCTCTCTCAATCGAATAAACAACACCGTCCTCATTCCTTAGAACCATTTCCAGAGAAAATAATTTACTTCATTAACCAGCACCGACCGCTGGCTGGTTCGGTAGCACACTTCCTTAGGGGAACTTTTGCAGATTTTTTTCCTTTTCACTTGGTACATACTGATTTGCCAACCAGTCAGTGCAGTCAACTTCCGGGCTCATCGTTAAATTTTATTTTCTAGCTAAAACTAAATTAACTCTTCTTCGCATTTTCCACTGATTCCTCCCGGAGGTTTTCCTATTGTGAAAGAGCTGGGAAAATGATGATGGCCAGTTGCCAACAACAACGCTTCCATCTGCCTGACAACACTCAAAGAAGAGTCTCCAGCACGCCCAAACAGTTGGAAGCATCTCTCCATCTCCAGCTCCATCTCCACCCTCCAGCCCTCTGGCTATTGGGTGTGAAATGCGAGAGATTCGTTCACGCGAAATCAAATCAGGGGGAAAAAGTTTTCTCGTCGCTCTTCATTTTCTGCTACGCTCGTTACTTTTTTTTTCAGCGATTTTTATATACATATTTACAGGAAAGATTACGACCTTGAGTTTATTCGAGTTTCTTTCTTCCGTGCTACCTCCTGCGCGCACTGGTATGCGAATCTGGGGCGCAGACGGGCGGATTGGTCATAAACTAGATTATTATTTACAGATTCCTCATTCGCTCATTGGATGATTTTTCCGCATCTTTTTACGGATCAACCCCGGCATTAACTGTACTTAATGATCCTTGGCTCATTTTGCTTCCCGCTAGCTTCCCTCTTGCTTTGTTTAATCCACACTCAAAATTGAGCATATCGATTTAATTATTTCACAGCGTTCATATCACAAAATGATATAATGGTAAATAACATCGTTATTCTCGTTTCTCTGTCGCTCATCTTAGAAAACAGTTAGAAAACGAAAACAGAAACGTAAAGTGATCACCGGGGAAACAGTACCCCTCCCGAAGAACAAAGAGATACGTTCTCGGAGGGAAATATTTGGATTTCTTCGTTCTATAAACAGTTTCGGTAGCGTTCGTTATTTTAACAATTTCTAATTATTGTTTAAGTCTTGCCTCGTTCCCTAGCTTCGCACTGTCAGCGCATTCGGAGAATGAGCCTCACAGGGCCGTATCACCGACCCTGTGAGATTCCTATAGTCATACGGTGCTTTCCCGTTTTACCATGAGCGGCGTATCGGCTGACACGTCCTCCTCTGGTAATCCGATGCACACGCGGGTCCTCGGCTGTGGTCCTAGATGCTGCATAGCTATCGTGGAGGGTGGAGGAGGTACCGCTTGCTGACTGCTGGTCACCGAAATGGCCGTCATGTTTCGCACCCCGGCGATGGTTCCCCCGTACGAGGGCCAATGATGTGCACCGATAGGACCGGCAGGATTGATGGCACCGCCACCGGCACCCGGTGGGTGCCTCGGAAGGGTGCAAGTGACGTGCGATGCTGTCGTGAACGTATTTGGCACATGACTCATGGACACATTGGTCACCGAATTGGCAGGTTGGGGTACGCCGTTCCTAAGGGTGCAGTAGCCCAGGCTCGTTGTGTGATTGTTGTGCAGAGCCATCGTTGAACCCATGAAGTTTTGACTCTGCGCTGTGGTGGTCAGTAGCAATCGGCTCGGACTGCTAGTGTCGATTGTGGATATGTGCTGTCGACGTCGGATGTACTCCATCTACAGAAAAGGAAAATAACAAGCGAGAGAAAAAAATGTTTCAGCAGATTTAGGTAAGATAAAAACTAGTATGGGGGGAGAAAGTGCGGGATTTCCAGGGGACGTCTTCGTGAATTAATACACCTTTTATCACCAGGAGGTAAATAAAATTATTTAGCGCTCATTTTTTCTTTCACATGACATTACTTCATGACGCTTAAAACTTATTTCGGCGAATTTATGATCCTTTTTATTTTAACCTAGGTGCTCCAGTTACTACAGTTACTTACCAGCCTTCATTGTTATTATATATATCTAAGTGTTTTTACATTGTTCCTGCCTTGGAAATTCAGTATTTCAAACAGGTTTTTTAAACCTGCATGTCAGTATAACAATTGAAATCTTAAAACTAAAAACTAAAACTAAATCTTATCTAAGTATAAAAGGAATTAATCGTTGCAATTTTGGATTACAACGATTTTTGCCTGAATTTATTAATTATTTTGTTGGACATTTGTTCTAAAGTCTCAACATTCGAAATTCTATGTACTTCGGTAGTACTTTACCAAGGAGGCAACTTCAAAATCATCTTCAGAACTTTGTTCTGAATCATTTGAAGTGCTTTTTTCCTGGTCGTGCAACAACTAGACCATATTGGCACAGCGTAAAGCATAGCTGGTCTAAAAACTTGTTATAATATTAGAAGTTTATTCGTCAGGCAAATTTTGGAAGTCCTGTTTATAAGAGGATACAAACATTTTATAAATTTGTTTGACCAGGAAATTGGAGCTCCGTTCGTAGTGACTTTGTGACTACTACTGGGTTTCAAAAAGGAAGCTCTAGGCTTATGTGGGAATATTATAAGTTGAGTTTTGGAAGCGTTGGGAGAAATCTTCCATTTTTGTAAATAGCAAGAATTTTTTTTTAGACTTTTCTGCAGTCTGCTGCATATAACACGAAGACTTCTTCCTTTAGCGGAAATGCCTGTGTCATCAACGAACAAAGATTTGTGGCAACCCTGAGGCAAATCAGGGAGGTCCGAAGTGAAAATGTTATACAATATAGGCCCAAGAATGCTACCCTGAGGAACTCCTGCTCTAACAGGTAGTCGATTGGATTTGGAATTTTGATAATTTACCTGCAAATTTCTGTCAGTTAAATAATTTTGAACTAATTTCATAATGTAAAGTGAAAAATTAAACTTTTTCAATTTAGCAATCAATTCTTCATGCCAAACACTGTCGAATGCTTTTTCTATGTCTAGAAGAGCAACTCCAGTTAACTGGCCTTCAGATTTGCTCATCGCGAAATCCAAACGGCACATCTTCAACAATTGAGTTCGTATTGATGTGAAGCATCATTCTATTCAAAATTATCTTTTCAAAAAGTTTACTAAGAAACCAAACTTATTGGACGATAGCTAGAAGCATCAGCTGGAGTTTTATCCGCTTTCAAGCTTGGTACAACTTTTGCATTTTTCCATTTATCAGGAAAGTATGCCAAGTGGAAACATCTGTTAAATAATTTTACCAAGAAAGACAAGATACTCTCTGGGAGGTTTTTGACGAGGATATAGAAAATTCCATCATCACCTGGAGCTTTCATATTATGAAATTTGTTAGTTATAGATCTTACTTCGTCCAAATCAGTTCTCCAGGAATCATCAAAAATATTTTCCCCAGAGAAAATATTCAGATAATCCCGAGCAACCTGATTTTCAATAGCACTAGTTAGACCCAAACTGATGTAATGGTAACTCTCGAATTGCTTTCAAGTTTCTGAGCTTTGTCTAAATTTGTGATGAAAATTTTACCACCTTCTTTAAGGGGAAGTTCACCGCTTCGAAAAAAATAATTACGTTTTGATTTTTCTAAAAATATTGAAAAAAAAGTATAAAAAATCTAAAAAAATCACATTTTTTCTAATTTTTTAAAGAAAATTCACGTGCAAAAACATGTTTTATAATAGTTGAAGATGCTAATTTCAAATAACAGACTGTAGTGGTAATTTTTATACGATAGATGGAGTAGATGAAAGCAGTTTTATAAGTCATTATGGCATAAAGTTGGACTCAAAAAACCACAAAACATCAACTTTTCGGTTTTTCTGAGAGTCCAATTTTTTTCATGATGGGATAGAAAAAAAATTTTCTTCCTTAGATTTTTGGCAAAAATCTAAGGAAGAAACTGATTTTCTTGGAGTTTTGATAATTTTTCCCAATATTTTTAGAAAAATTAAAAACGTACCGAAAATATTTTTTTATTTTTGGGCCGGTGAGCTTCCCCTTAAGCGCTGGAATAGGCTTTTGAGGTTTTTATCAAAAATTTTGTGAGTTTCCAAAAGGGTTTGGAACTCGGGTCTAATTTAGAAACACTATTTTCAAAAGTTTCGTTCCTCAGGGCAGAGAATCGCTTTTTAATTTGTTTTTGCAAATCCCGCCAGATAACTTTCTTGGCAGGATCGCGTGTTCTTTGAAATTGTCTCCTACGGACATTGTTAAGGCGGATCAAGAGCTGAAGGGCTACAAAATGGTGAGTGACAATCTGGAAGGAGCGATATACCTAGCTCCGGTCCTCACAAGTTCCTACCTCACGCCTCCACGAGTCATATGATCACAAAAGACTGCCAGCTGAAACATGGACACAGTTGGTTGGCGTAGCCTGGGCAATGTTGTCAATCCGAGAATAGCAGAGTGAGGAGGTGCGACGCGAACACTGGCGCGGTAACCATAGCACGGTGATAGAGGAATTGCTTCGCCAACCCGAGCGTCTGTGCACCATGGAGGTGCGGCTCAAACAGCGTCTGACTGGCATCCAGCGGCTGAATAAGAAATGCTCTTCCCCGGAAGCTACACCTAAAATGGCAGCCCCATCACGGCGGATAGGAGGCCTTAGGCCAACCACCTACTGTCTCTGAAACCTTTACAATTGTTACAGAAACCAACAGAGAAAGACATCGAACTTATATAACGGCAACGACTTTTAGCGCAAAACAACGGACACGAATTGGATCATGGAATGTATTGACGTTAGCCCAGCAGGGTAAACTGGCACAACTCGCCAACGAGGCGCAACGCATGAAGCTAGAAATCCTGGGACTGAGTGAAGTTCGTTGGCCAAACTTTGGAGAACACAAACTGCCGTCGGGACAGGTACTACTATACTCTGGTATTCGAGGTGAAAACGCTCCCCGCCATCGTGGAGTTGGTCTCCTACTTAGCGTCCAGGCAAGTGCTGCGCTCATCAAGTGGGAGCCTGTTAATGAGAGGATAATCGTTGCCAGATTTAGAACACGGGTTCGTAACCTTACCATAATCCAATGTTATGCGCCAACCGATGCTGCCGAGCTACAGGACAAGGAGAATTTTTACAGTCAACTGAATGTCGTCGTGGATAAGGTTCCAAAGGGTGACATCAAGATCTACACTGGCGACTTCAATGCGAAGATCGGCTCCGACAACACGGACTAATAGCGTGTCATGGGACGCCATGGTCTCGGCGAAATGAGCGAGAACGGGGAGCTGTTTGTAGAATTTTGGGGCAATAACGACATGGTGATCGGGGACTCGCTCTTCCCCCATCGGCCAGTGCACAAAGTCACGTGGGTTTCCCGTGATGGACAAACCGAGACGGAGCCTTCTTGATGTCCGGAATAAACGCAGCGCCGACATCGCGTCTGACCATCACCTTCTAATCGGTGAAATCCGCCTACGCATGGCGCGGATCCAGCGACGGGAGGAGAGACTCGGGCGGCGGTTCAACACACGCCGACTTGAAGATCCAGGGGTAAAAAGGTCTTTTGTTCATGAAATTGAGACTCGAGCTGCGGACGTTCCAGAAGGTGGCAGCGTAGAAGAACAATGGACGGCCATCAAGAATGCCTTTAAAGAAACAAGCGAGAACAACTTGGGTGAGCTGCGCACCCAGAGGAAAGAGTGGATCACAGATGAAACCTGGCGGAAGATTGAGGAGCGTAGAGAAGCAAAAGCCGCGATAGAGCGGGCGAGAACCAGATGAGCCAAGAACGAAGCCCGTCAACGGTACTCGGCTCTAGAGAAGGAAGTCAAGCGCTCTTGCAGACGGGACAATCGAGCGTGGGTGAACTCCCTGGCCGACGAAGGGGAGAAAGCCGCAAACACTGGCGATATACGCCTCCTCTACGATATCTCACGACGCCTGAGTGGAGCAAGGATGAACCCGAGGATGCCAGTGAAGGACACGACTGGACAATTGCTTACCGACCCCACTGACCAGCTGAAACGCTGGTTTGAGCACTTCGAACAACTTCTTCAAGTTTCGACGCCCAACCAGCCATCAACATCTCGGCATGATCCGCCTAGGGTGCGGCGCATCACTCGCGTCAATTCCGAGGCCCCATCACTGCAGGAGATTGAAGCAGTCGATCGCATATCAGCAGAGATGCTCAAAGCTGACCCCATGCTATCCGCACAAATGTTGCATCAACTATTCTGTAATATCTGGGACACCGCGACTTTTCCGGCCGACTGGATGCAGGGCATCTTACTGAAGGTCCCAAAGAAGGGGGATCTGACTGTGTGCGACAATTGGCGAGGCATCATGTTACTGTGTATTGTTCTCAAAGTTCTGTGCAAAGTTATCCTGAATCGGATACAGGAGAAGATTGACGCGACTCTCCGACGGCAGCAGGCAAGATTCCGTGCCGGAAGATCTTGTGTGGACCATATTATCACGCTCCGCATCATCCTGGAGCAGGTCAATGAATTCCAAGAGTCCCTTTATTTGGTATTCATTGACTACGAAAAAGCTTTCGACCGTCTCAATCACGAGAATCTGTGGGGTGCCCTGAGATGCAATTGAGTCCCGGATAAAATCGTCAACCTCATCGAAGTGCAGTATCAGGCTTTCACGTGCAGAGTTCTGCATAACGGAGCCTTGTCCGACCCTATCCGGGTAGTCGCTGGTGTGAGCACAACGGCGCTCTGATATGCAGAGTAAGCTCAATGACTTAGCCGAACGCTCCTCTGCGGCGGGTCTCACCAT